TTGAATTATCTGAAGCCGCAGAGGAGATAACACTGCACTTTCAGTTTTGCACATGTATGAACATGTCATGCTGTCTGAAAGAGACTGTTGAGAAACAAAGAGTACGATAGAATATTGTCTCATCTACCTGTTCTCTGTTTTCCATTCTCTGTGTGTTTCCCTTTCCTTTTTTTTCTAGCTCCTGTTAAGTTATCATTTTGAGTTTCAAAACACTCCAAAAAAGGAAAGGCTGGTGTGTGTGCAATCCAAAAGCAGCAGGTTGATTCATATGCACACACACCAGCCTTTCCTCTATGTCCCAACAATCCTGCAAGTCAGAACCAGGGATGAATAAATCAGTCTATTTCCAGTGTGACATGTGTTCAGATGCTAAATTTGTTCCATCCCCAGAGCCTAATCAATCTGTGATTTTTGAAAACACATAAACAAACACACTCTTGTTTGAAAAAGACTACACTTTGGTATTCATTTGATATGAATATCTACATTTTATCCTAAAATGTGTATTCCACATACATTATCTACAAAAACATGCTTAGTTGTATGCATGTTAGTATGCTATCCAAGCAAAAGAAAATATCACAATATTTGAAGAACTGTGTTTTGATCCAAGTATTACTATAGATAGCACAAAGCAGGCTGGTTCACTTAAAATGCAGACTGACCAAAATCCCTTGAGCATCCATACTCTCTAGCTTCCAATCAAGCCGTGAAGCAGACGTTACCACAGCCATTGAGACTGCAGAGAAAAATGTAGGGTAGCATAGCTATGGAAGCATGCCCTTTGTTTCATGGCCAGCTGCTACAAAGGAACTGCACTGTAGTGACTTTATGGGTCAATTCAAAAGTTATGGTCATAATATCTTTTTGGCAGTGGTCAGAAGTTTTTTTAAAAATCCTAGGCTTTCCCAACTTAAATGTCTTTAGTCTTCTTAGACCAATTGTTCCAATGTTATTTTCGCATAAAATGCAATCATTTTGTATTTCATGGTTGGCATGTTTTTTAATTGGTAAACCATCCAGAGATATTTTGTCATTGGGTGGCACATACTTGTTTCAAATTAAATATTTGCTTAAAGTGTGCTAGCTGCTAGAAATGCTTCTTACTTTGAGACAGGATGCAAGAACACCTGAAAGCCATTGTGACATGGATTGTAGTAATCAAGGGGTTTCATAATCTCAACACACTTTTGAGTAGCTTGCAGACATTGGTTTGGAGATCTCCACATCACTGGAAAAATCTATATGCTAAACAAAGCTGCAGTGGGCTCTGATAGGAAATATTTCCTTGATTATCCTAAGATGATATGAAGTTGCCTGTCTTCCTAGGATCGAATTGCTGCTCCACCTACAATACTGTAGCCCAGTAGCAACTGATTTCAGTTTCAGACAGGATTTTTCACTACATGAAGATTATACAGTACTATACTTTTGAAAAAAAATTCTAGCGTGTTTTAGGTGATACTGGGTGAAACAGAGACAATAGGAAAAAAATTGGGGTGAATGTGGCTTGCAGACTGAGCTTTGACTATCCATTAGCTTTGGAAGTGCAGTGAGAATGAGTAGCACGCTGGTAAAATGTCAGGGGGCAGTTTTGGTAGCAAAAATAGTTCCAGTAAGGTCTGTCTAAATCAGTGGTTGTCAACCTGTGAGTCCCCAGGAGTCCCCAACAACTCCCAGAAATACCAGCCAGTTTACCACCTGAAAGGATTTCTGGGAGTTGAAGGCCAAAACATCTGGGGACCCACAGGTTGACAACCACTGGTCTAAATCAATTTTCACAATAGCCACTACAGGAGACGTGGTTAGGCTTTAATTATTTTTAATAGAAACAAAGATGCATATTCTACCTGTCCCCTCCTTACATAAAGCCTGTCCATGTTGAAGGGCAAAGCTCACAGTGTAGGCATAACTGTTTGCCTGAATACAGTTGCAAAGGTCTACACTATTGGAAACCCTGATAATAACACAGAATTGCATGCAGTTATTGATTGATGGATTTGATTTATATCCCACCTTTTCCTCTATGCATAAGGACCCACCTTGAATGTTCAAATGCTACAGCTTTCTTGGTCAATATGGGAAAATTTCAAATGTAAGAGCTAGATTTGGAGCATGTATCCCCAAGCCTCCCTGTACTTACTAGTTTTGTATGCCCAACAAAGCTGGTGTATCTGAAACTAGATTGATCTTTCTCCCATTTACTTACCATATTATACATACCCTGCCATGTGTAAACTCCTTCAAAATTTGGGCAAAAAAGTGTATACAATATTTTCTATGCAAGTAACACCATTTTCAGGGTAATGATTTCAGTACAGATTTACTTCATTTTTATGCTGTTTTCTATGCAGAAAGTTTTGCACAGAATAAATCCCAAATTACAAACAGATTTGAAAACAGTGTGTTTTTAAGCTTTCTCTCAAAGAACATTGCAAAAGTTACCATTACTCCCTCAAAGAAAATGAACAAATAAAACCTGAATTAAAAGACTTCTAAAATATAAATATCTATACTCCTTCAGTACTCAACACATTTATACCAATAGCTTAAACTTGATTGTTATTTCATTGTCAGATTATGAAGTCTTGTTCTCCTCTTCTATTGCATCCCACAAATAAAACATGGCCTTCAAAAAAGTCCCTTACACAATCTGTTAATCTTATTGTCAAAGAGGGATGATAAGACGCACATAGTTATTTTTTCTCTTTCATCAGGTTGAAGGGTTGCTTTGGCTTTCACTCATAATTCAGCATTACAAAATTAAAATTTAACTCTACACAATTTTGTTAGTTAAGTACCTTTAATTCAGCTACAGCTTGTCTCCTCAAACTCCTCAAATAGGGTTTTTCTTGAAAAGAAAAACTTTTCAGAAGAGGGTTTATCATTGCCTCCTCGAAGACTTAGAAAATGTGACTTGCCCAAGCTCATCCAGTCTGAATCTTAGTCCATCACTCAACCACTATATCATGTCTGTTCTTTACATTATTATGAGCCTTTGTCATATAAATGCACTGGTATAAAATTATCATGGGAAGTTTGAACAATTTGGGACCAGGTTTCTTAAGGGCTGCCTTCTTCCATATGTATTCCACCCCATTTGCTCCTTTCATTATCTGTCACATAACTCCTGTTCCTCCTAGCTAATAGGAATGGTGTGTAATGTATTCTATAGTGACACTCAACCTGTGGAATTTTCTCCCAAGTGAAATTTCTCTGGCCCTGAGAAATTTTGTAAAAAGGAAAAAAAAGACCTGCTGAAATCTTGCTGGGGTATCAATTCTCAGTGTGATACCTGAGAATAACAATTCTCAGGTATCACACTACAGGATCTTTCACATTTCAGAGCTATGACTCCACCTTGACTCTCACAATAATGTCCTATAGAATCTTAAAATCCACAAAGCATGTAGGAATATTTAAAATTCTCAGCTAGAGAGCTCTATTGCCTCACTAAACTACAAATCCTTAAAATATTCCCACTGGAGCTAAAGTGAGATCTAGCACTTTAATTGAACTGTAGTGTGAAACTAGTCCAGGTAGAAAAACCACAGCTGCTGCAGCTGTGAAAGAAGCAAAGCAGTGGGAAAAGGGGTGGTTCAAAGTTAGCAGATTTTGTCTGCCTTCTTTCACCATCCCTGTGTGACCCTGGAAAAAGTATAACTGGTAGTGTGCTTTGCCAACAGGATTCCAGACAGTATGTGATTCTACACACACCCAAAGGCTGGCTGCCCTGAGTTTGTTTTAGTTTTGGAGGGAAAAGAAGGACAAAAGTTTGTTGGAAAAATAAATACACAAGAAGCAAAAAGCCAGGCAATATAAGTAGCTTTACGATCTGGCCACAATTCCAGTGGCCATAAGGTCAAGCTCAGAGTTATGTCATCACAATAATACTATAAGGCTACTCCTGGCAAGTTTACTACTATGATAATGACTACAATGGCTACCACTTGTCGTCTTAAGAATTTATCTTAAGGTAAGATTGACAATAAACCCACCACTGCTGCTCTTCTATTTTTAGCATTAAATAAAATGAACAGAGAATTTGTTTTCTTTACATAAGAAATTCTAAGCCATTCACCTGGGATCCTAAGGTTCCACAGGTTTACACAATAGCTTTGGATACTGTTTTATAATATGACATAACAACGTCATGACAGATGTGAATAAATTGTGGTTTTGGTTCTTGCCACAAGTTTTCGATTAATAAAGCACTTTGCAAGCGAGCCATCGCTTCAGGAAACGTGTGTAAAACTTCACGTTGATTTTGTGATATTGCAAAACAGCACGAGAAAGCTGCCTAAATTGAGTGCAACAGATTCAGCAGAAAGAATATACTGTTCAGTATGTGTTTGTGTAAAATGTAGAAGAAACAAAGAATTTAACCAAAATGAATACTTTTTCACAACAATCCCTTGCAAACTGGACAGTAACTTCTAAACATGAAAAAAAAAACCTTTGAACACTTTAAAATTTCCTTAAAGGAAAAAAAGGGGGAGACCTATTAGGATTAGTACTTGAGATCATTTTAGCAAGTTCATATGTTACTTGTTACTCTGCCTAGAAGCTCAAACTCTTAAGTTTGCTTTAATTTTGGAACGTCTTGCTTTGAGGCAGCTTCTTGAACCAAAAAAGACAGACAATAAGAGCCATATGTAACCTTCGGACCCCAAAAAAGAGAGGAAGATGAGAATGCCACTGGCAGATAGACAATAAAGAACACCCCCCCCCCCAAAAAAAAAAGCATTTTCACATTTTCTGGGCTAGTGGGAGGGAAAGAAAAACATTCAAAAGACTGCTAGTTAACACAGTTTGGGGGGAGAAAAAAAGGCTATTTTCAAATGGTGTTATCAGCTACTTAATACTTGATTTAATCAATAAATTAGTCATAAAGCATTTACAAAACACACCATCTGATTAAAACAAATACTATAACAGAGCTACAGGAATTATTGTTGAGTTCTGACTAGCCTAAAACATCAAAACAAACAGTAACTCACTTGTAATCACTACTTTCTTCATGAGAATCTATAATGCGTTCTCTCAGTGGCTTCAGCTCTGTCTGTGATTTTCTACTGGTCTGTGCAAATGGTTTCTGCTCTTTGCTCACTTAGCTGCTCTTGACTTGCTTTCAAGCTGGATTCCATTAGAAGTTTTTCATCCTGACTGGCAAATTCTTGCTCTGAAAGATAATAAAAGGATTGAAGTTTCCAAAGAAGCCAACGACATTTTTGTTTCATTTTTATATTTAATATGATGTTAAGCCGGAGCTACATGAACTTGCCAAATTTATATCTTACAGATTTTTTTAAAGAATATGTCAATTCTGCTTCCAACTATTAAACACATACATGCACCATTATGTGGGTAGCTTGAAATGCATTTTAATGATATTTAATAGTTTATCAGTGGCCAGATGCTCTCAATCTCTGCTAGCTCTGCAGACATGTACCATTATGGAGCTGGATTTCATAAAAGCAGATATTATTTGCTTCATTATTTGGAGAAATATTTTTTAGTTATTATTCATTGTCTCTCTTGATCCACAAAAGGCTCATAATTGCACCCTGCATCTCAAAAAGAATTAGGATATAAGACAAACTTCTGTTTCCCTTTTTTTTTCTCCATTGTGTCGATACCCCATCACATAAATAAAATCTCATCCAAGGTCATCCAATAGATGGCACTCTTTCATTAGACCAAAGAAACTAGGGCAGTGTGTTTCAGCCTTCCACTGAAAAATAGGCAATTTAAGACAAAGACATTTTTCCTTTGTTCTTTTGTTGACCATATTCTAAGAAATATACATATATAGCCCTTCATTTAAATATTTGTCTTTTAGCACAGATTTATACTCAGGTGCTTTTTCTTCAAAAGTCTTTTGCAAATATACATCTCTCAACATTTATTTGATAATACTGTCCAAATTTAATGAGGGACAGAATTAAAATTTCAGAATAAACATTTATCAATGAAGGGGTGCTCTGTTGTCAAAACTGATGCCTGTTAATCAAGATTGTACACATAGGTCGTGTCTTTAGAAGAGGGAAGAGGGGAAAGCAAAGCACCTTGCTGAGAAGGCATCAAAGTGAAAATTAAGAAGGTCATATATTCTTAGATGGCAAAGCTCTTCAAACAGCTCATTTTTAATAACCCTGGTTTATGTCGGAAGAATGATGTGTAAATTAGGCTTCAATTAATTCGGAGCAAAGGGACTGAAGCCTTATAAAAACCAATATTGTCATAACAAGAATTGAAACGCTAGTCTTTGCAAACAGCCTACATTTATCTTATATATTTGAAATCAATCTTAGTTGCCCCGATGAGCTGGATCTAAATAAAAGTATTTAATTAACAATTAGAAATATCTGGAATATTCAGGAGACATAATGATTCTCATTGACCCAGACGTCCTGTGCAGAAAGACTGAAATACTAGAAGGATTTCATGCTGGCATGGTCCTATTTCAATAAATATGTATTTGAATCTGTGTGTGTATGTGTATTAATTGTGGAGGATATGATTGTCTCCCACTCAAAACACACACATACACACAGGTTCAGACACTTGCTTATTCTAAGAGAACTATTCTAATACAAAATATTTTTGAAGCATTACATTTTTAGACATATAATGTTGCATATTGAATCTATATAGGTTGAGCCTGTATATAGTGGGAGAAAGAGAGAGAAAGAGAAGAAAGAAGCTGTCCTAATGGATATATTATATATTGGTTTTACAAATTGTAAGGAATTTCGTAGCCTGCAGAGCAAGATCACCAAGGAGCGTTAGCTACGACTATTTAATAAAATAACAGAATACAATGCACAGGACAGATTATTTTAGAGCACCAAAAATGCAAATAAATCAGCAGGTGAGTGGCGTCACTTACAGACTGAGTGAAGAGCATTACGATATCCTTCAGTAAGCCTTAGCAATTTGTTATTTTGTTTTTGCAGAATTGGTTTTGGCATTAGAAATATGCCCTGCCATAAAAGATTGTAAATGCAGTATTACTTCCTGCATATAGAATAGCTTGGTTTTGGCTTTGCTTGTTAAAAAAATAGAAGGATTCAAGGGGGGGGGGGAGCCTCTAAACTCTCTCTCACACACACTGGTACTGATCATTGAAACTTGCAAATACAGACAGCTAAAAAAAGAATCAAATGTAGTTCAAATTTAAGCCATATATACATGAGAGATTAGTTATCCCAAGATGAAGCTAATTTGAAGTATTGTTTGCTCTTTCCCCACAGAAGCTGTGGATATAAACATCAATGTATGTGTGTTTTCTGTGGGACTTGCCCTTTCAAACCGATAAAGTCCGTTTATTTCCCCCCAATTCTCTTAAGAATCTATTCTATTTCATAATGTGCTGGTTGAAAAGGGTTAAATTATTTTAAGTTTACCTATGCCTTGGACTTGAGCCTTGGCTGATCCCAAGCCAGAGGCACTAGCAGCTGCATGCTTTATTTACAATCCCTTTGTCAGACTTACAACTGCCTCAGGCTATAACATAGTGTACCTAATGTTCAAACTGGCAGGTAATCTTATGTCAAACATACTTCTTTGATTTAAAGTGATCAATAGATTCTTGTAAAGAGGTAATTTCTCTGATGTTTCCACCTTGCCTTTCTTACAGGTGATTCACACAAAAGCCTGCTTATATGATGTACAAACAATAAACAGAAAGCTATAATCATGTTTTTTCAGATGTTTCCGGTGCACAACGATTTTGGATCAATACCCTGTGTAATACAATTATCTGCAATGATCTGGTTGTATTGAAAAAGAATTTGCAGCAAACCTCTAGGGGGTTTTATCCAGAAACATGTGTCTGGCCATGTTGTGAATAGTGGAAGGGAAAATTAAGGGGTTGACACAAGCTGTCCATTACCTTCCAAATGACTTCATTAATATTTTATTTGTTAAAAAATCGTGGCTTTCAAAACTTTACTATGAGGTGGATCCATAATGTTATAGGATGAGAATCAGGTCATGTCTCTTTGGTATCGACTGCATTCTGGAAAACACCTTCGAACGTATTAAGCAAGATGCCAGGGCTGCAGATATTAGGGCAAGAACTACAGAAAGGGAATTAGGGGCTCTGTGCTACTGAATGCTCTTTGAATACCTGACAAAATGAATTGAGAAATTGTGTGTGTGTGTGTGTGCACAGCTGGCTCCAGTGCATGTGAGAATAGCTCTTTGTCTTCAAGGGATTCAAGCAATCCTTTTTGAGCTGTACAAATTCTATACTGGCAATTAATTGTGTCACTTAAAAACAACGATTGCCCCCCAAATGTGTTCAGTATTATATAGATGTACAAACACCTAAAAGGAGTGTCTGTGTGTGTCTTTGTATTCTGTTCATTTTAAAACATCTGCAACCAGTAAGTATGCAAAGCTTTCTCAACCAGAAATTCTCTCTCTCTCTCTCTCTCTATATATATATATATACACACACAATACCATGCAGAAACAAAGGAACATGGTTGTGTTTATTTCCGTTGATAAAGCTGCTCACTCCAGCCCTAAATTCCCCCCTAAAGCTGGACAGGGAACCTTTTGTGTTCATTTGATTACTGCAATCTTTTGTCCGTATGATTGATATTTCTATTCTATTAGCCTGTGCCAAATTCACAGGGCTGCAGCAGGATTACTATTTCCATACGTTATTACCTCGTCCCTCTGCAACGCTCCCTTGCTCATCCTCCCAGCTCCTGTTTTACCTGCTGGATCTTAGGTCTAAATATGATGGCTTTTCTTGCCTTCTGATTCTTTCTTTCTGTGTGTCCTGGAGACTCAGCGTTCAGCTTCTTGACCACACTGTCAAAGTGCTCCACCTCAGCCACTTTAGCTTTGATATCTTCTATCGCCTGCAGGAGAGCTACTCTCTTGGAAGGTCATCTCTTTTGCGTATTGCCTCTGAAGAAAAAAAAAGCCTTCCACAAGTACCATTTACAATGAACTGGGGGGTTTTATTAAAAAGGGGGGGAATCGTTGCATCATGCTCTTTTGAGGCATACGTTAAAGGCGAATGCACACATACACAGATCCACCTTTTTCTCATTTCCAGTGAGGTCATGTCCTCATACGTCCCCAAGGACCAACAATTCCACACAATTTGCTTATTTATTTATTTATTTTTAAATCTGTTGAGAAAAATATTGTGCTCAAACCATTATTAAACAGTATAATTAACAGTTCAAACGAAAACATTCCATATAACACTGAGAGCAGCTGGGGAGGAAAACAGGAAAGCAGCTGTTTGATTTCAGAATGTGATAGGGTTTTCATTTTTTTCAGGTGCTGCATAAAATAAAATGTTAAGATAGAAACCAACAGCAGTAACAATTCTGATTCAGATGGTAGGGATAAATGCATAAAAGCAACCAGAATGAGTAAGACTGCTGTAATTCTGTTTTGTAGATATTTTTTTTTCTTGAGATATAACAGAATTTTGTCATTATATTTTATGTATTATTCAAATATATGTATTTTTACATGGGGTATCCCAGCATCAATATATTTTTTTAAAACTAGAACACAAATAAATTATTTAGATTTCTGATATTTTTAGACTAGCAATCTTATTTTGAGTTATAATTACTATAATTTTAAATATAAATATTTCAATTTTAAAATATGTCAACTTTTTTTCTAAATTTACTGATGAATATCTGGATGTATTTGCAGTGAAAATGATACAGAAATTCAGCCAATGCATTTAACTTCGCATCAGCCAGAGCTGATTTTCTCATAGGCATCTGTGCTTCATTGGCTTGGTGCCACACCTTGATTCTCTATCGTGCTCCATCATGCTTCTTTTAATCTGAATATTTAGTACTCTTTCATGTCTTAATTACAGCAAATTGCACACAGTTGGCACCATTTCTTGAAATTAATCCCAGAGTACTTTGTTTCTGTCAAGCACAGTCAAAGCCTTAGAGAATAATAGTAAATGTTATTGCAGATCTAAATTTAAATGACTGTCTATGTGTTTAACTTAAGCCTTTAATTATTCGTGCTGTACTGTTTTTGGTTCAAATGTTAAACATTCTTCATTGAGAAGGCAAAATTGCTTTAGACAGATTAAAACCTGCAGATATGTTTGGCTGTGATGTTAACATGACAATAATTATTTGTATTAACATATTTTTTCAGGTGTGTAAGACTGAAGAGAGTACATAATATCCTGATGTGATTTCATTTCACTTGTCATTATTAGATCATTTTAAAAGATTTTAAATGAACAGGAAAATGTTGTTTTTAGGGGTTTTCTTCACTGTGTCCAGATTTTTAAAAGGGTAATTAATTATTCTTATTTAGGAAATTACAAATACTTAAAATGATATTATTTTACTCATCTTGTTCCTATAAAATAAAGGTAGCATATCTTCAGGGAAGCCAAGAAAATACAGACTTTATCAGTCTCTGCCTTTTAGATTCTGCCTTTTCAATCACTGTCCAAATAGCCACTAAAAAAAAAAAGCAACACCAGAAATGTATAGCAAGGCTGCTAAAATGCCACCACCTGCTTAACATAATGAAATCTTGTTGTAATAAATTCCTGAAACCCCTGTGTAGGGAAATTCTCCCTCCTCCTCATAATACTGACATACCTCCAAAGAAATGCATATGATTTCCTCTTCCATGTATGTTACACGGATTTTGTATGGCTATAGCATACATAAAAAGGCTCTAGGCATCTGTCTGTTTTTATGCCTCCAGGTTGGTCTAAGATATTGGGCAGAGTCGCCTCTAAAATGGGAATTGTGCTTTCTAAATCTCTACAGACATTTACAGGGCTGAATTCATTTTATTTCATATCAATATGCTTTTCAGGGAAGGGATGTGTGTGGGGGGGGGGGAGTGAAATTGTTATCACAAATGCAAAGCTATCTTGAGTGTTGAGACAAACACCAAAGAAATGTGTGCTTACAGAATTTGTGATAAAATGATAGAGGTTTTTTTACCCCACTTCTTTTCCTTTGGTATGTGTGTATATATATTGTATATGTCTGTCTATGAATGGAGTAGTGCACATTCCAGCTTCTCACACTCCCTTTTTGCAATGTGATTTTTAAAGAAGATAGCTGTGTTGCTCGCTTTTCTCATCACAAGAGTATACCTGATCTTTCCAACTACAAAGTTTCCTGCCATCTGCAAGGTCCCTTTCAAGCTGTGTTATCTGCTGTTCTAGCTGAGCAAGTAGCATTTCGTGTTTCTGCCGGAAAGCTATTACATTCAGATGCAACAGCTGCAGAGGGTTTCCCTAGATTTTCTATCTGAAAAAAGAAAACAGTCTCCTTTGAGTATGAGTTATATTAGCAGTTTTGGGGTTTTGTTCCTGTTGGTTTCAGTTCCTCCTTTTCCACTCACGATCCCTGATATATGCCTAGTATATCTTTTGTTATGTTTCCCCTGGAAATCTTTTTTTTAATTATCTATAGTTATTGACAATACAGTTGACTGTATTTTATTCTGTTCACTGATATATAGGAATATTCGTGACAAAAAGGCTCAGAAAAAGGACAAAATCCATTCTTATGTACAAGTGAAGTTTTTTTTAATGAAGGTTTTTTTTAAAATATATCTTCTGCAACTTTTATTTCAGAAATGAAACACTCAGCCTAACAGACTGGGAAAGGACATAAGAAAAGCCACATCTCTTTAAAGAAAAGGGACGTCTTAAGAAAAGGAAGGCACGAGGTCAAAACAATCGTGATATTCAAGATCTATGGTTGGGTTTTCTAGTACATTTCTCTGTAGCATTCTAACAGTCTGGAGGAGATTTCAACTAGATCAAAAGTGTCAGTGAAGGGATGTTTAACCCTTTTTCTTTGCAACATTTCAAAACAAACACCCACATGCACACAGGGATATTAGATTTAGAGTGGAAAACAGGCCTAGACATCACTTCACTCTGCACACTGCTAGTGCTTTTAAAGAAGACTTAGATTAAAAATAATACAAAGAGAGGGGATTAGATACCCCTTCCCCCAATGTTGCTACTCTAATCAGGTCTGCAGCCCTGGCTCTGTTTATAAGTTAACCCCCCCCCCCCAAAAAAAAGTCTCTTGTGAAATTTCAGATTACTGCTGTTTTGTGCTTTGATCAGACCTCACCTGGAATACTCTGTCCAATTTTGGGAACCACAGAAGGAGGCTGGCAGGCTGGGAAATGTCCACAGTAGGGCAATCAAAATTCCCAAGCGTCTGGAAACCAAGTCCCGTGAAGAACAACTTTGGGAGCTGGTTATGTTTAGCTTGGAGAAGTGAATATTGAAAGATGATGTGATAGCCATATTTAAATATCTGCAGTTGGAACCCTGACTTTCAATCCCATCTATTCCATGAGAAGTTGGGGCCATAGAACTGCTGACTATAGAAGATATAGAAGATGGAGCAAGCTTTTATATAACTATACTCCAGAGACTAGACATGAAACAGTGGATTCAAATAAGAAGAAAATACATTCTATTTAAACATTAGAAAGAACTTATTGATGTAAAAGCTGCCCAGCAGTGGACTAGATTGGGCTTGAAGGATGGTTGACTATCCTATTTTTAAAATCTTTGTACAGTGTTGGGCAGTTATCTTTTGGGAGCAATTCTATATATCATAGGGTTGGGATAGATGCCATGTGGTCCGTTCTAACTATAAATTCAGGCAGCAATTCTATGGTCCCAGCTTCCCATGGAATAAATTGGAATGAAGGTCAGGGTTCCAATTTTGGCCTAGAGCCTTTAGTCTTCCAGGTTTTTTGTACTTCGGCTCCCACGATTCCTAACAGCTGGGGAGCTAGCTGGGATTTCTGAGGTCCAAAACACCTGAAGGGACCAAAGGAACTACTGGTGTAGAGAAAGGAAATACCAAATCAGAATCTTTCTGTTCTTGTGGATATTTCTATGGATCTTCTGTATCTATATTCAGTTTTAGAAGTTAGATTGGGGTCCTGATGTTACCGGAGTCTCAGCATCTCAACAAGTAGGTGTTATCCAAAGTCCCCATAATCTCTGTCATGGCTACAGTACATCATGCTGGTAGATAAAATCACCTAAGCTACCTCTTGTGCCACTCTGAAGTCTTTGAGGAAACCTGAGGATATATAATTGGATATCGAAAATTACAAGCATATGTGTGTGAGCATATAAATATGTACCTGTATGAACAAACAAACAGAGAAAGAAACATACCCAATGAAATAATATATACAAGACATGCACAATCTTTTTTTCCTCAAGAACTATGCCTTATGTTGGAGGAACATGTATACATGTGCACCTAGAAAGATAACTGCACCTAAAATCTGTCTCTTTCTCAAATAAAATGCTCATATTTCAGCAGGCAGGGACTGGGCAATTTAAGGTTACTTTCTGTCTCCCCAACTGTGATCTAGGGATTGCTAGGAGGAGTCCCAAAGGAGAAAGTGTAAATCTCCGTCACCCCAGGAACACCTAATGATATCAGAAGGATTGGAAAGTCTTAAACATCCAGAACTCTCTTCTACCCCAGTGATATCCATAGAGATCATTATAGATACTCATAGAGATGCTGCCAAAGAGTGCAGGACAACATTAGTCTATTTGGTTTATACTTCTATGTTTTTATACCAAGGCTCTGACATTGTAAAAAGCAAAACAGGCTAAAGAAGGCAGGGGAAATGTTCTTACTTGGTGTGCAAAGATTAATGGATTTTCTGCCCTCTGACAAGGTTTGTTAACAAGCCAAAGACATGTGTATGGGGAAGACTTCAAGACACAGTAAATAAAAAGATCAATGTGGAAATCAAGTCCCTTTCCAAAGATGTTAAGTTCTCTCCAAGGGTTTTCTGTAAGGGCCACCAACACAGTTAATACCAGAATTTTGTTATGGCTGGCACTTTCATACTTTCTCCTTCCTTTCATAATCCATTTCATATTATTAAGGGCAATGCTTTATGTGGTTA